TTGAAGCAACTGTCATGTGATTGGTTGATTAGATAATTGCATTAATGAGAAATTGAACAGGTGTTCCTAATAATCCTTTAGGTGAGTGTATATTGCATGTGTTTGTTTTAAATATATTAGATACAGGCCTATCACTGGAAAGCATTACTTTAAAACATTATATACAGTTTCATGTCATCTTTGGCATATTTAAATATGAAACATTCTCCAAAATTCAAATCCCACACATTACCAATTACAGAAACAGAGGTCAAGCTTATATGTTCAGATACACTGAGCTTTTGTTAACAGTCAAATAAGAAAGGCAAAGTGCGGCTGCGTGTGCGTCAGTGTTTTCTTTGTAATTCCCATTGTTCAGCATTAGAAGAATGTTTAATAAATGGATTTCAAGTTTTTAGAATCAAAATGGGTTAGAAGAAAATGAATACAAAATAATAAAAAAAACTGTGGGGGAAAGGATGAGGAGGAAAGCACTGGAATGGAAGGGTTTGTTTAACTGGGCGTTTGAGAAAGCGGCTCTCTTTCCCGTTCACGTTCCCATGTGAGCGCGGCACACATGCTGCCCGTCCTGCGGGATGCCAAAGCTTCCCCCTGTGGTACCGGCATGCAGTATGGAGAATGTGCCTGGAATGCAGCTTCCCCCTGTGGTACCGGCGTGCAGTCCGTACAATGTGCTGTGGTACCGGCGTGCAGTGCGGAGAATGTGCTGTGGTACCGGCGTGCAGTGTGGAGAATGTGCTGTTGTACCAGCATGCAGTGCGGAGAATGTGCTGTTGTACTGGCGTGCAGTGTGGAGAATGTGCTGTGGTACTGGCGTGCAGTGCGGAGAATGTGCTGTGGTACCGGCGTGCAGTGCGGAGAATGTGCTGTGGTACTGGCGTGCAGTGCGGAGAATGTGCCTGGAATGCTCAGCTTCTGTTTCACTATCAAAGGTAAAACAACAACTGCAGTGGACGCACCTGAGAGTGATTCATTCTGTTTAGTCGTACCCTTATACTAGGCTCAGTGTCAAGGTACATGGGTGTAAATTAAGGGGGAAATGGGGACACTGTAAACCCCCCCCCCCCCACCATGCTCAACCCAAAATAATGTCCTTGTCAAGTTAATGGGGTATATCATAGTAATTTGGGTACACTGTGGTCATTTGGGTATACTGAGCTATTTTGGGTAAATTTGGCTAATATTATCTGCAAGATCTCCAAGAAGTTCTGGAATAGCGTTGCTTTTGAAAATATCATCAAAAGACCATATATATATACAGTGGTGTAATGCATGGACAATATGATACATGAAAAATTGGATACCACCTAAGCTCACATTGTACTCAGCTAAAACTAAATCATGCAATAGATGCCTCTAACTCCCAGGAGGACCACACTTCTTACAGAGATTCAACATTTTATCTTATCTGCTCAAAAAATGCAATTAATTTCATTCCAAATATTAAATGTATTTAAAATGGTATCTTTGCATCCACCATGTTGGGATGAACAGACTATGAGTACTAATTTTACAATTTGAGAAAGAGTAAAAGGTTAGAATATTAGTAGAATAGAGTATAAATTGCCTTCTGAGACCTCAGACCAAAAACCAAGTATTTTTATCCCATTTTTCTGGATCGATATTTCCTGTAATAAGAGAAAGGCTATGGTGCATAGAGTGTGAAACTCCACACATAAACCAGAAAAACCAGAAAAAAAATACATCAGGTGACACAGATCCACCAATCAAATCTGGATTCTAAAAAAAAACACTGAAGGTTATTCACAGCACCAGTCAATCGATGCAATCATAACTGTCATTTCTGCTCACAATATCACAATTACTGTGCTCATGTAGCTTTTGCCAGGGTATGAAAGAGTACTGACTGTCATCATTAAACGAAGCCTTCACAGCTGACTCCTCCCCTTTGAAGAGTCTATCTTCACCTTTTGTCAGAACAGCTTACTCTCTCCTTCCACTGATTACTGGTTTATTCCTCAATTGCCAACTGAAAAAAAGAACTCAGTACAATCAGTCCTTAAAGGGTCAGAGCAGATTGAATCTCTTACAAGGCAAAACAAAATGCATCGAAAGCCAGATGGAGCACACCGCATACTAGCTTTTCTAAGGTTAACCATCGAAAAACTAGCATGAAATGCAGTGGAGTGTTAGAAAATCAAACGGCACTTTGTCTAGGGGCACAATAACCAAAACTGAGATGAATGAGGGCAGTCCATTACTTTGATCATTTTGTTTTAAATTTAAAATATAAAAGAAGCTCATATTAGCTCTTTGGCATGCTAACAGATGAGTACCAGAGAAATTGTTTTGATGGAGTGCTCTTCTGATCAGGGAGTTAAAGCATAATGACGGTACCTTCCCTACATGTTTAGAGATGACTCAACAACAAACCCAATAATTTACAATCGGTTCTGAGAGGGATAATTTAAACCATGAGGCTATGCCACAAAGCCAACACAAAATGCGCGCACCCTTCATCTGTCCATGGAGTGGCGCCAGTTAGTCAGGAAATAAAAGATCCTGGCAAAGCTTGCATCTCTCCCATCCTTAAAGTGTAGCTTCTTTAACGATATAAAGAAAAAAAACTAATTAAGGAAATTCCCATGGATCATTTCAACCAAAATTTTATACTTGTTATAATCTTGTCAACATCAAAGTGACTGAATGTAAGTTGGGGGCACTATGCATGAGCCTGGAATTTCACAACAGAATCCAGTTTAGGTTTAGCTTTATGATTAAAATGACTCAGTCAAGGTCTAGCTTATTTATGTGGCCAGATAAAACCCTTGCAATACTTAATGACAGGAGCATTGGATTGTCAATTGATTCCCCTGTTGAACACAAAGAAGAGTTTTGTTAATAAATTTTTCATATTTATTTGAGTAATTAGAAATTGCATCTGTACTCCATATCTTCTCACCCAAGGAACACTTGGTACACATGTTCCCATCTCTGGGTGGTAAACACACTGTTCCTGCTGTGATTTCCTGCTTCTAGGTGATTTTTGTTCAGGAGAGCCAAACAAATGTGGGCTGTTTCCCGGGTAATAAAACATTTTGTTAGATTGATCACCAGAAGGTTGTGCTCACAGAGTTTCACATGATGGATTCTTTACGCAAAGAAGCAGGTCTAAAAAGGAAGGAGTTAAAGGCAAATAAAACACTTTCTTCAAAAGTCTTTTCCTTTTATAATAGCCTGCACCAAGAAGTGAAACAAGGCAGGGGAACAGGATTCATGCTGTGCGAAACATTTTCATAAAATGATGGGCAAATGCTGGCTTTTAGGCAGCTGTTAGTATGTAAAAATAGATGCTGAGGTTGGTCTTTTGTTCGTGCTCTCATCATCCCACTCGTCTCTCATATCTACAGAGCATTAATGGCCTTGATGACTAACTCCTATGCGGACGCCACTTTGCCCCATCAAGCTAATTAAAAATGAAAAATGAAAAGAAAAAAAAAACATTAACCTATGCCTCAAGACACTTAAACAGCCTGCATATAATGTAAGAGGACGTGAACATTTCCCATACGCTCAAAGGCTAATTTGGAGCTACTTCGAATTCCTAATGCTTAATGAGTTTGTTTAATATCCTGCATCGTCAAACCGAGTTTTCCTCCCTTCCTTTCTACAGTGACTTTTTAAATCGCAGTAACCCCATCTGAATTTTCACTGAGCTGAGTAAAGTACAGCGATAGCAAAGAAAAAACGTAGCGTATTAGAAACTGACAAAATGGGAGATGGAGAAGGATTGCAGGGCCTGTTTTGTACTACAAAGCAAGTTGGAGATACCTTGTTGGGGGAGGTGGGGCTTCTGAACATATGATGTCTGGACTATGATTACTTTCAAAAATGAATATACACTCACCTGGCCTCAAGGCCCATAAAGAAACTCCCACAAATCCACCGGGGGCAGCGGTCACTCATCTTGGATGTCAGTAACCCTTCAAATCGCGGTCAATAAACACAGCCAGGGACTCCATTGCATTTCTCCCTCCAGTTCCCACATCAACTGATATTTGACAACATGTACAAATGTTATCCGAAGTGCTTTCCACCCACGAAGCTGCTGAAGCAGCAGCGCATCATGGGATCATTTCATATCAGCAAGTTTTCTGTTTTTGCTCCCTACCCAAGAGATTACAATAAAACTTTTTTCTTGTAAAACTGGTTTGTAAAAATATTGAATTCAATTGTGTTGATCACTTCATAATTCATGTTTTCTTGCAAAAAGTTTATCGTAGGCAAGTTTCTATTACTTACCGAATAAGGTAAAACACCTGAGAAAAAATCTATGCAGTTTCACCTAACAGTGAGTTTTAATCTGCCAAGGTTCCGCTTATAAAGTCCTTAAATAATTTTTATTTTTTTCCGGTACAACAAAGGGGAAACCAATGGTGCAATAATTAGATTTCAAATGGGGGTAATTTATATTTGCATTTTATTCACCAAGCTTTGTGGAGAACGATGGCAACGGTGTTGGGAACAGCCATGTTATAACGGCGAATCAGCAATTAGCACAGGCTTTGTCCTATCAAGTGCCACATATTCCGTTTCATTTAGGGAGCTGAAGTGCCAACTGAAGGGGTGAAACTCTAGATGGATGAGAATAATGATCCTACACTTCTGTAAGCTAATCGTTCAAATACCGTTCTAAAACATCACAACATCTGAGATGACTAACGTGGCGATATCAGCACAATAAAACAAAAATATTAGCATTTCTTTTTGCATTTCCATTTTAGCAGACCAGGAACCTTGCACCAAAATAATAATGCTAAACTGAGGACATGCTACTTTGTTTTAGTTCCGCAAAGACAGCTCTCCTGTAAAGTCACTGCACCGTCCGAAACCAGTCAATAATAAATATGGGGAAAAGGGAAAACAGTGAGCTAATTAAGAGCAGCCTGTGTTTCAGGGGCTTGTGTGCAATAATGTGGCAGATTAACAGAGAAAAAATCACTTTTAACGATGATCAAAAACTCCATACAACTTGATTACTGCAAGACACAAATTACAGCTGCTTCAGGCATCCAAGCAGCCTGATCAGAATGCACATGTGTTTGTATAATTTTATACTTATTTAGCAGGCACTTTTACCCAAAGTGACAGACTTGATTTTTTTTCAGGGTGGGACGGTCCCTGAGCAACGGGGAAATCTCTGTGTGAGGTTGGGATTCAAACCGGCAACCTTCTGATCATAACCATAGATGCTGCGGATGTGGGGCATGGTTCAGATGGGAAAAAAGGTGACCATCCACTTGCAGCTCCTGGACAAGGGGGATTTGTTAACAAAACAGAACACAACGGGGAAAGCAAAAAACTAGGAATGAACTAAAGCATGGAGTAAAGATTACTCAAGAACTAAGACAACACAAGGAGCAGGACTGCAAAGCAAATAGCACACCACACCAACCACACATGCAAATACAATGAGAACATAAGAAATTTACAAACGAGAGGAGGCCATTCAGCCCATCAAGCTCGTTTGGGGAGAACTTAACTAATAGCTCAGAGTTGTTAAAATCTTATCTAGCTCTGATTTAAAGGAACCCATGGTGCTCCTCCGCGCTTCCCCCGTCAATTTTAACTCCATCTTA